TGGGCTTTCATGGTGGGGGATAACATTTACATATGTTCATTTTTATAGTTAAAAGAAAAAAATACAAACATGTAGTTTTATTCATTTAAACCTCTGTTCTGCCACCTTACCATTTCTCTTCCTGTTTGAGTTTGCTCCTTTAGTATTCTCTCTCTCCTTCCACGGCAAGGACAGGTGCATACAATGTAAGGGATTTTTTCTGAGTTACTGAGAGACCCCAGGCTCTGTCAAATGCTGGCAAAATCCCTATTACTCATGAATAGTGGTTATTTCCATCAGATAGCTTGGTTTGTACTAGTGGTCATACACAAAGGAATTATTTATGTGCAAATCAGGTTGAGTTGGAAATTCCTCAGGAAATGCTGTAGGCATTGAGGATAGTCTTCTGTCTTGGTGATGTCAGAACTCAATTTTCTCCATGTCTGGGGAGGCAAGGACTACATCAGATGTTAGTGTCCTGAGCCTAGCGCAGAATAATGATAGTGTGGTATGAGTTGAGATTCCACAGAGGGGCACACGCAGGCCCTGGTGCAGCCAGCGTTCCAAGTGATTGCTTGCAGTAGATTTGCTATTATAGCACTGATTAGGTTCTGAGACAAGGGACTCAGTAAAAGCCAGAAGGTTGCTGTCATTTTCACCACCCACCACAGTGACACTTACTGTTCAAATCTGAAGAGATCAAGAGAATTTCTCTTTGTGATTCTGTGAGGATGGGAGAGTTAGTAAAACTATAAAAAGGATGAATACTTAAAGAGAATGCCAGTGCCCCTGTGATTTAGAGTATACATAAAAAATTCATCTTCTAAAATGTGTTAGGTTAAAGGTTGGTGGAGAATATTAACTTTGCAAGTTGCAGTGTGGAAGTGGAGAGAAGTCCAGCTGAGATGACTAACCGTGAAAGAAATCCACAGTGCCTTATCTTACCCAAATGTTTATTGAGAAAGGTGCAGGGTGTCGACCCCACTTTCATGTGGTGTGGGCATTGTTGCAAATCAAATGCAGAGGTCCTATTATGTGAGAGGGTGGAGCCAAGTTTTCTTTTACAGAAGTTTTGTGTAGACAGTGGTCAGGACTGTAATGACAGTTAGTGGGATTAAGAAGGAAGATTTTCCAGAGCTTTGACTGTTGACAGAGGTTTGTGTCCCACCCTGTCCGGCAGCCATTTGTCCCAAAGAAATACACAGAGGTCTACTACATTAATTATATACTGGTTGGCCTATTAGCTCAGGCTTTCTTATTAACTAATGTTTACATCTTAACCCTGTATTGTCTGTGTTAGCCATGTGGCTTGGTACCTTTATCAGCGAGGCATTCTCCTCTTGCTTCCTATGTGTCTGGGTAACAGCTGCAGACTGAGTCTTTTCTCTTCCCATATTCTCCTGTTCTCATCACCCTGCCTACACTTCCTGCCTGGCTGCTGGTCAATCAGTGTTTTATTAAAACAATACAATATAAGTGACAGGGTACAAGACCCACAGCAGTTGACAAGAGACCAGGTTTGCTAGATTGTTATCAAGGCCCACAAAAATGCTAAGACTGAGAAAAGTATTGTCAAAACCAAAAGTGGAAAATAGCAAAAAGTTAGGGGATGAGACTGAATAGCAAGAGAAGAAATGATGGGAATACTTTTGGTTCACAGTAGCACTGATGAGCTAGATGTTCATTGATTAGATTTTAAAAGTTCAAACTGGTGCTGAGTTATATGGATTAAAGCTAGAATTAGGAATATCAGACAATATTATTTTATTGGTTCAGATAAGAAAGGCTGAGAATCATCCTGGTAACATTATATGTGTTCCTTAAAGAGAAAAACAAAACAGCTATTAGGTAGGAGGCCACCTTTCTATGATGCAGTGATTGATGTGTTAGGACAATGGGGCATTTTCTACAAGGTTGTGATGATTCTGGGGAAGGTTGTGGAGGATCAGCATCTGGCAGTGTCCACATCTCAGAAAGCAGAGCAGTCATTTCAGCTTTGACGTAGACACTCTCAGCTCTCTTCGATACTTTAGAGTATCACAGTTAACTTTAGATTTGCTAAAATGATCACAAGGCAGCTCTCTAATAGCACGGTTGTTTAAAGAACTTAGGACTTCAATGATACACTATGAAGTCATTAAGTTCATCTATCTTATGATAATAGCATATTGCAAGCATATTCTCCCATTTAGAGTTATGATACTTCATCCAAAAGTAATGACAGCCTTTTGAGAAGAGTGTCCTGAGAATGAGTTTGGGAGAAGCATGTGGTCAAGGGCTCAAGGAAATGAGAGTGTTGGGAATAATCCCAGTCAACACTAGAGAAATGTTCAAATAATGTGGGAGAGAGAAGGAAATGGTTGAAAACACAGAGTGGTTATTAATGGGGAATGAAGAATGCAAATATCTTGTATATTTCAATGAAGACATTTACTATTGCTGGTGTTAGCAAAGGGTTTAGAGGTCAAATGAATGGCTCATTCCAAGTTACTGAGAATTTAATGAACGACCCTCTCTTCTTTATTAATGAAATTATTCATTTATGTCTTGGACTATTTTTTATAGAAAAAGAATAAAAATAATATGGGCTCAGAAATTTGATTTTTTTTAAAAAAATTAATGATGAGTCCTTTGTATCTGGAAAGTATATAAAATTATGGTGCTACACTTACATGATAGTGCAAATTACAATCATATTACTGTGCATTTGCAAATTACTGGTGGTTATATTGTAAATATAGTGATAGGCCAACTAGAAAATAGAAGTAAAATTACATGTAGACCAACATAGGAAATATTATTAGGCATCAGTGTTTTAGGATTTTCTCACTAATTAACTCTTAAAACGTGTGGCAAAATTCTGAATTATTATTAGGAAAAATATCCCATAGTGCAGTAGGCTGTTTAGGCACTTAGAAGACCTCACCTGGAGAAGGTCGCTTTTAATAACATGTAAAAGAAAATTGAGGCTCTGCTCTTAATATGCTGGTAATTTGGTAAATAATTGTGATAAACTGATGGTTTGTTGCATATGCTGAAGCTCTTAGAAAACAGCATTACTAGAAAAATAGTTTGATTCTCATGGCAGTCAGGAATAATTTACAAAAAATATCTAGCAAGTTCTAACAACTTTTTCAAATAAGGTACAGTGTGCAGAGATATCCTGGAGACTTGAAATATCCCCATTCTTCTTGTGAGGAAAAAAATCAGTCATGGAAATGCTGAGAGAAGGCATCAGATGGTTCAAACACATACACATGTGCATTAACCCATGCATGTGAGCACATGCACATGTGTGCACATGCACGCGTGCGCGCGCACACACACACCTTGGAAGAACAGGAACTTTGACAGAATGATTTTTTTTAACATTAAATGTGACTCCAACTACAAATTACTGAAGAACTCGAAATAAAATGTCATCCTTTAGTAACATAAGCATTGTGTTGCCCATTCGGTGATGTTTGCATTTAAATATCCTCCCAACCATATGAATCAGTTGCATAAACACCAGCTAAGCAGTGTGCTGAGATAAACCGCCTGGGATGATTAAGCTTTCTCAGTGTGATTGAGTTCTGTTTGCTTTTCTATTTTTGTTGATATTTTGATACTCTGGACTCTGTCAATGATTTCAAATATTATTTATGTGACAAAATAACTTGCTGATCTTTATACTTATAAAAGGAGTATACGGGGTGTCTTTGCACAGAGGCTAAGAAGTTTGGAATGAAATGTTTGAATTTGTTAGATTTAAGTGTTCTTAGGGCTCAGTACTATATGTCATGAAGTTCATTAGTGTGTATGTTAGAAATTTTATTCACATGGATCTGAAACAAAATTCTAAAATATGTCTTATCTACAAACCAAAATGTTCCAATTTAAATTTATAGGCATTTTCCTGCTATTTACTTAGTGCAATATATATGTATATATTAATATTCATCAATATTTTGGATGACTAAGATTTTTCAAGTTCACTAGTTATGCATACTTTATAGTCTGATAAAATCAAATTAATAATTTTAAAGTCTCTGTTTATAAACTTTGGCATGATTTTAGCATTTGCCTTAAATTCTGAATGACTTAAGTGGTATAAGAATACATACAGGCTATTCCACAGGCTAGCTCTCCTTCTTAAGAAAAATTATGTTTTAAAAATTTCCCCATTTTTTTTTTTTGGTGTAGAATTGAAAGTTGCCTCGTTTCAAATAGATTATAAAATGCTCTGGCTTCTTTTCATAAGAAAGAGAGCCTATTGGTTCCAGAAAAGCCCAAAACATTGGCTAAGTGTTCGCTAAATTACTGTTTTATGTTCATCCTGGCAAGCGACTGGGGGAAATAAGCAAAGTGTCCTCTCTATTTTGGATATGGACTTCACTCTCTCAATTTATTATTGCGTGTTTGTGTTGGGTGCTTCATCCTTTGAATTCTGGGCACCTTTTCAGATTCATAACATATAGTCCAAGTCTTTAGAATGTCAAGCAATTGAAATACATCACCATTTAGGATTCTAGTCATTATCAAGCTGTGGTTTATACTCTTTCAATGGCAGAAAATCTATTTCATTATACAAAATGAAGTATGAAATTTGTAATGAAGACAACTTCAGTCCTTTCAGATTGTGCAATTCCAAATTTGCACAATTATTTTAAATAACTTGGGTAAATTATTTTTTTTACAACAGAATTATGAAAAATTTATATTGATTTTTTGTTTGGAGGAATAAATGGGCTATAGGATGTACTACTTCACGATTTATTTCTTGTTTGAAATTCAAAGCCATGTCTCATTAATAACCATAGACTCCTTCATTATTGATAAAGGCTCACAATGTCTCATCTCATGTAAAGTAGTACAAGGGCTGTTGGCACAAGCACACAGTGAAAAGAGTATTTTGATAATTTCATAAGTAATGTCCTATTTCAATCTATTTTTCTCTCCTCTAGCTAACTTCTCCCACTACCTCTGAGCAGCTTGCTCATAAACCACCTGCTTTCTCCTTTGTTTCTCCAACTAATCAGAAAACGCCACCTGTCCCAGCTAACGTCAGCGGAGCCTGTGTGCTAGAGGAGTTTCACACTCGCAGGCTGGATGTCACAGGGGCCTCGGTTGAAGAAACAGCTACGTATTTTCACACTACTGCTCGCGATTCCCCCCTTTCTGCATGGAGGGATGCTTCGTCGCTAGTATTTTCCCCTTCCACTCAACTGCCAGGTTCTAGTTCATGTGGCTCAAATGTTGCTGATCACACACGTGGGCTGGCATCTGAAGCACAGAAGAAAGCATCGACGTCGCATGTCCTTAGTCCCAGGGAAGATCTGAGAACCTCTCCTTCGTCTGCCTCGGGTGCTTCTCTGAAGTCCCCTTCAGCTTCCTACCTACCTGTCCGCATTGTCATGCATTCACTCTCTCCAAGTCCCAAACCACTTACCTCATCTCCCCATGGCTCTTTATCCACTGTCTCTAGCCGAATGTCATCCACTGGAAACCTTTCAAAGTCAGGGCTGAAGTCCTCAGTACCTTCTCGGCTCTCTCTCCTCACTGCTATCCTCAAATCAAGCCCGTCTCACCAAAGGCCTTTATCCCCCGCGTCATGCCCAACCTTCTCCCTCAACTCCCTGGCCTCTTCCACACTCACACTTGATCAGAAAGTAAAGCAATCTTCACCCACACCTAGGAAATCTCTCTCAAGTTGTTCCTTGACAGCTGGTTCAACAGAACAAGAAGAACACAAGGCGTCTGCAGAGACCCACCAATCCTACCACCCCCCTTTCTTGTCCAAGTCTCCCCCACTTTCTCAGTTGTACCCCCTCTCTCCAGCAGCACCTGACAGTAGCATCTATGCTTCTAGGAATGTAGGGAAAACACCAGAAGGTACACTGAGGAACAGCACAACACTACCCCAGTTACAGAGCGCCACATTCGGTTTTGCTGATGTCCCTTCTATTACATCGAGTTTATCCCCGCTTTCTTCTTTGGAGGGCAGACAGGATGGTGACCTCAGGGCTCCAGAAAGGAGCAGGAATATTTGCAAACACCCTTCTACCTTCTTATCCTCCGCACCTCCTGCTAATGAAAACACTGCCCTTTCCTCTCTAGAGAAATGTTTCCACCCCTCCCCAGTCCTCTCGGAGCTGATAGACAGATCCCAAAGAGCCTGCTCTCAGCAACTAGCAGGCCAGGAACTGCGCCCTTCTGTTCTGCCCGCTCCTCCTGTCTCCCGTGCTGGCTCTACGCCTCATGCCAACTTGGGACGCTCCATTCTCCCGCCCGAGAGTTCACTTACCCAGGGACTCCAGCCTAGTCCTTCAGTACTGCACCCGAGTTGTGGCAGTGGCGCAAGAACTGGAACGCCTGAAAGCACAATGTCCAACCACAGCTCACTTGTTCCAACCCCGTCACTTCCTGTCTCACTAACAAGAACCAAGGAGCTGAGCACACCTTGCGCATTGTCCATGTCAACAGGCCCTGAGAATAAGAAGCCCAAGGTATTTTCTTTTTGCATGTTGCATGTATATTTTGAAATATGGAAGAAACTATGACTTTGACTTCAGGGAGACATACACACACACATGCACACAAATATATATATGTTTCTGGGTATGGGTTGCAGTTTTGGTTCCAATTAAAAACAGATAGCATTGTATAATATGTTACATTTCTGGTAACTTAATAAGAAGTGTCTCATTATCTATTGAAATACTTTGGACTGAGAGTATAGTTAGTAGACATAATTAATATAATGTATATAGTATAGATCTAGGATCATGATAAAACCATTATCAGTTTGAAATTGTTCTATTTCCTTTGCCTTTGTTTATTCATTCAAAGAAAGGCTTTTTCCCCCACCTTCCTTTCCTTCCTGCAAAGCTGATTTTCTTTTCATTGCTCCCTGTGCTGCCAGTTAAATAAAATTGGATGTTACTCTACATATTGAAGGCAAAAGGGAATAGAAACTTTTTTATGTGTAAAAATATTTAATTTATTGCAAGTACTTAACATCTAACATTATCCAGCATAGAAAGAATGAACGAACTGAGCACGAAGAAACAGAAATAGAAGTAAAGTTGGTTTTGAAATGTTCAGAAGTAGTCTGCTGAGCGAGGGTATGAGATGGCATTTATTAGTGCGAGAGAAGGAACATTTGAGGAGGGACTCCATGATTTAGGCTTGCTGGAGCATGCAGTTCTACTCTAGGCCATGGCAGCTTCCCGTCTAGCCTCAAAGGACTCAGGAATGGATCCTATTGCCCTCAGGATTTGATAGTCGTTGGGCAAGTAAAGTAAAACTATGAAAGTACCTGTATTAGTAGCACAGGGACCTTTTAGTTCCATATACTTGAAGAATACAGTCTATAGGTTTTTGAGTATAACAGAGAGTGACTTCAATTCTTTTATTACTGAATAATGAATGTGAGGTTAAGGAAACAGATAAACTCACAAGATATTGTTTCAACTGAAAAAGTACACATTAGACACTGTGTGCCTACCACTGTACTAGCTTTAAGAGTCTGTGATAATTTTAAAAAGAATTAATAGATAATTATCTTGAAAAAGTTGTTAACATTTGAATATAAATGCATGGTTGTGAACTTTGTGTATCATGTACTAAAATTTTTCCATCTAATCATTTACTGAATTGGGTGATTTGCTGTTTTTTTTAAAATTTAAGTTAGGGTATCCCTACATAGATCATGAGCCCTTGAATTTGTAATTCCTGCTTCAGCCTCCCCAGGGCAGACATCCATCCCCATGCTCCGCTGCTGAGAATCATTCTTAGTGCTTTCTTGATGTTCTGGTTTGCTTTGTAATTGCTGTGATAAAATGCCATCACCAAAACCAGTGTGAAAAGGGAAAGGCTGATTTCACATTACAGCCTATAGTTCATCATGAAGGGAACCCAGGTAGGCACTGGGGCAGGGAGCAAGGAGGAATGTGCCTTCCTGGCCGCATCCCTATAGTTGCTCAGTTTGATTTTGTTTGTTTCTTTTATTTTTTAAGACAGGTTTTCTCTGTGTAACAGTCTTGACTGTGCTGTAACTCACTCTGTATATTAGGCGGGCCTCAAACACAAGAGTTCCGCTGCCTCTGCCTCCCAAGGTCTGGGATTAGAGGCATGTGCCGCCATGCCCAGCTTCTCAGTTTGTTTGTTTGTTTTTTTTTTTTTTTTTAATACAATCTAAGACTCCCTTTCTAGAAATGGTGCCACTCACAGTCATTGATAGAATAAAATGCCACGCAGACTTACCCATGGGCCAATGTGATGGAGACATCTTCTCAGTTAAGATTTCTTCTTCTCAGATGACCCCAGCTTGTGTTGAGTTGGCAAAAACTAACCAGGACACTTGCCATACACTTAAATTACTCATTATCTTTTCTGAAAAGTTATTTCACTACAGACTTGTCCAAAGTGTTTCTATGTGTGCTCTAGTGTTCTTTGCTCACATTTTATCCTATAGTGAATATAGACAGCATTTGATGAGGATAAGCCTGGAAAACTTTTGATGAATTAAAGGCCCATATGTCAAAGATCTACTTTTCCATGGCTTGCTTCCTTCTCCCAATCTTGGAGCATTTCAATACTAGGTTTATTTGTCTGACCTTCCTTAAGTTAAGGAAATTGTAGTCACAGCTGTGCTTTTTGAAGTTGGTAACCATGAAAATGGCAAGAACTATTTACCTCTCAGTCAGAATAGTAATTTATACCTTTGTTTGCAAAACATTTTAACAGACAAATTTATAACTTCTGCCAGGAAGATGTTTCTGAGACATGCTCTTACTTTTCTTGTTAGTTTTTATTTCCTTCTTACAACTGCATTTCTAGTTTAAAGTTAGAAAGCCAACTCACCTTTTATTAATAACTACCCTTCTTGGGAATATAGAAATTTATCCAAATTGACACCAGCGAAGATGAACTGCATTTCAGTTTTGGTTTTGCATCTGACTATTTTGTTTAAGTTGTTGAAATTACTTTACAGAAGGCAGGGGGAAACGAGAAAATGCTCTGAGTTAGCAAAGAATTTATTCTCTCTTACAAGTTATTTCTTGCCTCACTCCTCTAGGTTGGGACCAATCCAAGCAAGCTGCTCTTTTTTGAAGTAAAAAAAAAATCTTCAAATTTATTTAAGCTTTATGCACCAAACCAATAGGAGTCCTCAAACAGGTAGTCAACAGACCGAAACAGAAATGCTTGAAGGATATCAGTTCAAAGTCTGGGCTGTAACTATTGTCCTTTGATATTAAAATAAAATGGAATGGCTAGAGAACGCTGAGCTGAATTCAGATAGAAAACTTGTTTGAAGCTCCTTGTCATTGTCATACTTGTACTGCATTAATATGGTGTAATTGACATGCTAATTTCAGATATAGTTTTAAAATAGTCTTTTTTGTTCATTGCCCTGGACAGGATGGGCAACTCTCTGAAAGTTACTAAGACTATTCCCTGATCAACCGCTATATTGTTTGAGACACTTTTCCTCTTTGGGAAGATGGGGGTACAATATTCACCCAAGATTGTGTTTGAGTGCCAAATATAATTGGTCGTCATTTTAAAAATGCTTTGACTTTTCCCCTCCTAGTGAGCTGCCATGGTATTTCACATAGAGTTAGAAAGACTATTATATCAAAATCTCATATAATCTAGTACTCACTGAAAATGGTTACAAATTTCTTTCAAATGAGTGTTTCCAATGGTCTGGCTTAAAGCTATTTGGACTTAGCTTGTTTACAGGATCAGTTGGGAGCTTTTACTGCTTCATGAGACTTCATAGCCAGTGTCCTATTTATTAAACTCTCATTCCTTTAAGGCATACAAACACTTCCAATTTTGTTATAATGGAAACTTGGTGCAGCAGGCAGGATGTGGATTTTCCCCATTTTTGTAGAACCAAATAAGATTTTAAATATGAGTGATAGGAAACATGATCTAAAAAACCCATCTGGGTGACCCAGTCAATAAACATGTACTGCCCATCTAATATGCTTCCCTAAACTATAAACATTATATTAAACTAAAAGAAGTGCAAAATTATCTCCTCCAAGAAGGTATACATTCTGTAGTAGAAAGCAAACAATCCATTTCCTAAATTGAAAGTTAAGTATCGTCTTAGAGGGTCATGAATGATATAAGGAAGAATATAGACTAGAAAGGGTCAGTACAAAAAGGGGTACTGTCTCAAATTTGTGTCGGGTGGTTGAAATTGTTTCTTGGAAAAGTTATCATGCAGGAAGTATGTAATGAGGAAAATCCCTGAGGCCAAAGAGTATGTGATTGATAGGTAGAAGGAACAGATTCAGATCGAATATTGGGATGTGTAGTGAGCAAGAGGATACTGATGTAAGAGGAAGAGAGACCAGAAGCAAGAGTCTATCTACTCTGAGGTCTCTCTGATGTTTACTTTGAGGAAGACAAGAAGCTGTTGGAAGTTTTCTTTTTATTGAAGGTACTGGAGGTTTTTTTGGGGGTGGGGAAATTCATACAAGTACAATGTTTACATTATTTTCACATCTCCTGTCTTCATTAAAGCTCTTTCTAAATTTTCTCCCACTCCCTTCAAATTAATGACATTGTATTAAGTATCATATGTATGCTTGTATGTAGATGGGTTTAGGCCTGAATACTTGGTCTTAAATACCTATCAGGGAACTTATTCTTCAAGAAAACTGATTATCCCTCTATCAATAACCATTGATTGGCCATAGTTCTTCATCTAGAGGTATAAGCTCCCGAAATTTCCTCCATCTACGTTGTCATACTGAGTGGTATTTAGACAACCATATTGCTGAGATTTCATGGGGATGACTTTCATGCCAAGTCAAGAAGACACTGTTTAACAGTAAGCATATTTGTTCTTTGGCTCTTAACAATCTTTCCTCTCCCTCATCATCAATGTTCTCTGAGCCTTAAGATGTAGGGGTTGCATTGCAGATGTAGCAATTGTGGTTGAGCACCCCCTGACCACTTATATTTTGTATTTCAACTAGTAGATCTCTGTAATCTTCCATCTGTTACAAAAAGAACCTTCTTTAATGACTGGTGAGAGCTACAATTATCTGTGGGTATAAGGATACATAGTTAGAACATAGTTAGAAATTATGTTGGTTTAAGGAAATGGCATTAGTAGGTTCTCCTCTAGGGTCTATGACCCTAGGGTAGTTGGCAAGGTTTACAGTACCAGGCATGGATTCTCTCTTTTGAGTGAAGGCCTTGTGTCTGTTCATCCCCTAGATGATAATGCCACTGTTGCACCATTGGCTGGTCAGTCATTAGTGGATTTGTAGTCCATTAAGCTGGGTGGGACTACTGATTGCTTTTCTCCATTGGCAGCTTTTATAGCATTTTCAGATGCTTTGAGAGTCAGTTCTTGTTACCATTAACTTCACAACCAGCATGAGCAAGAAAAGATCTGCAAACAAGTTACGATCCATTTTCCTTTCTAAACCTAATATTGCTTTACACTACATGGTATATATTTAAGAACTATTTCTTTATGCTTAATTGAAAGTGAATTACAAATGACAGATCTATAGTGAATGTCATTGCTCTGTGGGAAAGATTTAGAAAACTACTTAGAGCTGGCTTTTCATTTCTACTGTGAAGCTGAAGGCAATTATTTCCCTTCATGTTTGCTATAATTGTGTAGGCATGCTTTGTATTTGTGAGTGTGGGTGAGTATGTATATAGTCTGTGTATGTGTGTGTGTCAGGGCAAAAGTGGGTAGAGATTGGAGTTCAGCTTTGTGGAGTTAATTCTCTCCTTCAAACTTCATGTGGGTTTGGGGGGATCAAACTCAGACCCTGTGAAGTTCGCAGTTACTTTAGCCACTAAACCACGTCTCTGGCCCTGTGATTCCTGTAATATAATTTATGTCAAATGATATTCTCTAGAAGAGTTCAAATATATACCAAAGAAGGAAATCAATGAGTTTTGCATAGCACCTGGAAGCCTTGCATTGCTGGGAAGAATTATGTTCCAAATTAGAATAAAACTCCATGTTTAAATAAAAAAATATTAAGGACACTCAGAGAAAAGATGCTGAGTTTGAAAGCATCTTTTATGGCAATAATTACTTAGGTAGGATTTCTATTGTGAAGTGACACCATGATCATGACAACTCTTTTATTTTATTTTTTTATTGATTTTTATTGAGCTGTATATTTTTCTCTGCTCCCCATGACAACTCTTATAAAGGAAAACATTTAATCTGGGTGGCTTTCAGAGGTGTAGTCCATTATCATCATGGTGAGAAGCAAGGCAGCACACAGGCACACATGGTGCTGGAGAAGGAACTTAGAATTCTTACAGCTTGAGCCAAAAGCAACAGGAAACAGTCTGTCTCACTGAGTGTGGCTTGAGCATATATAGGACCTCAAAGTCTGCCTCCACAGTGACACACTTCCTCCAACAAAGCCATGACTTCTAATAATTCCACTCCCTTCAGGGGCTATTTTCTTTCAAACCACCACAAGCATGATTTTTCAGACTGAAAATCTGGGAAAGGCACATGGTTAAAATGAGCACTGAATGCCTCAGAGTAGCTACTCAATAGGCAATTGTTGAATGAATTTATTAGTTGAACTCTATATCTAATAATATCGACAAGATGTTCTAGTGTCTACCACATTGGAAGAACTCAGTACTTAGAGATTTCCATCTTTGATGTATGTATTGCATAATGATAAAGATAATACATCTAGCAAAAATGACTCATGAAAGAATATAAAAATTCATCTCCACAGTTTAAAATGAGAACACAATTCTCTAAGATGAAATTGAATAGAAATAATACTCAAGTCTTGGATACATCATTTGACTGCAAATTTTCTTGATGAGTCTTCAGTTGCAGGGTTCTATAAATTTATGTAAATATTCACAAAGAAATTGCATTTCATTCTAAAGCCTTACCCAGACACATTGCTGTCTAGAGGTGACAGCATTGCAGGATCAATGAAGATGCTAGGACTGTAAGTGACCTCAGGTATCCTCTAGAAATTGTTTCTCATGCGTAGGAGGGGGTGAAAGTACAGTATGCAGGGGAGCTGGGAGGCTTACAGAAGATTGAAACGCTGTTGCTTCTTATAGCAAGGAGGCATCTAGAGCAAAGAAAGTAGTAGCAGGTAAATAAGTAGAGTCTATTTCCTAATGAGAGAAGTGCTGAGATGCAGAGGTCTCTGCGTGTATGTTGTTGAATTTGTTTTTCTGTAGGAGAGGTTGGATATATGCATGAATAGACAGGGATCTGTGTATGCATGTAAATAAGTGCATTTGCTTGCATGTGAGCATGTGTAAGTGAGAGTTGTGATAGACAGGCTACAGTAGCTTCCTGACATCCTGGCCTTGGGTTGCTAATTTCACTATATCTAATATAATAGAAAGGAAAAGAAGAAAACAGAACAGGAAACGAGCGTGTTTCTGAACTGTGCACTGCTGTTCTTCCTCTGTGTCACTAAAGCATTCATTCTCCCCAGTCCCTGATTAGGAAAATGGATGTGCTAGATTCAGCCCCGTCATACAAGTTTAACCAAGTTTATTATAATTACATCCATAAAATTCAAGTTTTGTTTTGTTCTTAATTGAAAAAATTTTTCATACGGTATGTTCTGATCACACATTTCCCCCTCTTCAACTCCTTGTAGATCTTCTTTACCTCCCTACCTACGCAACTCTACAGACCCTTTCTCTCTTTATTTCAAAAACATATAGGCAAACAAGAAACCAACTAACAAAAAACCACACAAGAAACAAAATCCACAAAACCACAAAATTGGAAACCACAATATACAAGCAAAAGACCAATAAGACAAAAAATTTTCCTAAACAAAGAAATTTGAGACAAAATAGCTACAAAAGTACCATTGGCTTTGTTTTGTGTTGGTCATCTACTGATGGGCATGGGTCCTACTCTAAAGTTTGTTTAATATACCTAGTGAGAGTCCGTTGGAGAAAACACTCCTTAAAAGCAGATCTCAATTGCAGATAGCTTTTTGGTTATGGTTGGGAGCCTGTGTTTCTTTTCCCATCTTAGCCCTGTAACTATGTCTAGCTCAAACTGGTATAGGCCCTGTACCTGCTTCCACAGGCTTTTTGAGTTCCTATGTGTAGCAGTTCTATCGTGTCTGGAGTATGCTGTTTCCTTGGAGTCACCCATCCCATCTAGCTCTTAGAATCTTTTCACTTATTCCGTATAGTTTCCCGAACCTTAAGAGGAAGTATTTGATGAAGAACTCCCACTTAGCACTGAGTATTCCAAAATCTCTGTCTCTGTATGTTGCCCAGTTATGGGTGTCTGTATTGGTTCCCATCTACTGCAAGAGACAACATCTCTGACAATGGCGGAGTGAACCACTAAGAAGAATGCCACTATAAGTCATTTTATTGCTATGTTTCTTTAGCAGAGCACTAGTATTTGGTGTTCCTCTAGGACCATGGCTTACAGTCCAAAGTTTGTGGCCACCTGAGAAGTGTCAGACATGGGCTCCGTTTCTTGGCAATGGCCTTAAATCTAATCAGACACTCATCGATTGTTCCCACAATGTTTGTGTTATGATTGCAGCAGTATATCTTGTAGGCAGGTCACCATTTTAATTCATAGGGTTGGTGGCTGGGTTGTGATGGTTACCATTCTCCGTGGTGTGCTGAATACTTTCTAGTACTATAAACACTTTTCAGTAGAGGTGAAGGCTCTAGATAGGCAACAGATCAAATTTCTGTATTCAAGGAGATGAGTAAGTACAGTCATCAGCAATAGGATGACATAAATCATCAGTTTGAGAAGAGCAACCAATAGCTGTGGCATTAGACTGGGATGTTTGGGGCTTCTTATAGGGGCCTTTTGGTCAATGACTCAACAAGATGTAACTCATTCCTGGCACTGGAGGTTTATCTTTGTGGTAAAGATATCTAGTTGGGGCTATGTCTCCCCATTATTTACTTACTCTACTTAGATTTCTTTCTCATATAGATATATGCAGAAGCCTTTCCTATAGTAGGTTTGCATATTGGCCTCTCAAATAGCCCTTAGTTGTAGATGGAAGTGGGCACGACTTAATGCTAATTGACCCTCGCATATTCCCTCACTCACTCCTTTCTTCCATTCCCCTTCCCAATTAATCTTCACACTATAGTTTTTTACCTCTCTGTAATTATATGTTCTATTTCCCCTTAGATTTTATTTTTTGACAACCCCAGTTTTCATTGGTTAACACGTTCTTTTGCTTTTCAAGGAGCTAAGGCTTGGAGTGCTGTGCCATTTTCCCCATGGCTGTGAGCCACTGAGAAGCTGCCTCAGGCAGGGAATTGGGTATAATAGGAGTCTTGAAATTAGCTAATCAACTCAAGACCCAGAATAATACCAAACCAGGGCTTTTAATATTGGATTTTATCTTATCCAAATTTCTACAACTTCATTGATCTTTAGCTCTCCCAAGCAACTCACATAGCTCTGTTTGACTTAAAACTCAAGATGTTTTTAATTTCCTTTGTTAATGTCCCTGCAATAGAAAACAGAAGTATTGATAGTATGAAAAATGAGATTAGGACCATGAGATTTGGTCTTATTTCAACTATGGTGTCAAATTTCTGATATTGCGTAGTTGTTGGCCAAAGTGCTCTGTTAAAAACTGCTGTTAGCCAGGTATACAGCTCCATCCAACAATTCCACCAATTGGGAGGGGGAAGCAGGAAGATCGTGAATTTCAGGCCAGCTTGGGCTATATATATGGAGGTCGAGCCTATCTTTGGCTATGTAGAGAGACCTTGCCTAAAATATTCAACCTAAACCAACTTAAAACTGTTAGTAAATTTTGAGTAGTAAAATCTCATTTTTATGAATGATGCAAATATGTATCAGGAATGCAATTAAATTTATAGGCATATTTACCAATAATGGCTATATATTTGTCTAAGAATCCAACTCCTAAATCATTATAGAATTATAATTCTATGATATAATGCAGTTACTCAGAAATTTGTAGGAATGGATAATTTAAGTTAAAACTAAATAATATATAGCTGTTCAGGATCTGTAAGCTAACATGTTATCGTGTGTTTCTTATCAATCTAACAAAATATTAATGTGATGGACTAATTTCTTTTCAAAAACAAGTTGTGGACAATAACCCCTCTTTTCACCTGATAATGTGTCATTTAACTTGATAGAAGTACCTGCAGTTATGTCATATTCTTCGCCCTTTTCATCTCCACTCTTGCTTTCTGGTTATCCATTCTAGCAATACAAGACCAAGTCAAGCTACAAGGCTTTTGCAGCAATCCCTACAAACACATTGCTCTTGGAACAGAAGGTCAGTGTTGGATTTGAAACAGAGTGATTTTTATGTTTCTAGTATCTAGTATAGTTTTGTTACGTGTATAAAATTTCTAATGGGAAAATGCATGTTTTTACTGAAATAAAAACTGCTCCTAGATTAAGATACTGGGACGAAAGCATTGTGGTCATGATGACTGACATCCTTTTCATCATGAGGGTTGAATATGATCTCAGTTGTCTTGTACACTGTCAAGAAGACTTAGAGTTTTGATTCAGACTTCACTAGATCCTCCTTCTTTGGAAATTTAAAATCTGTTATGTTTGAACATTTTTTTCCTCTGTCTGCATAAATCAAAGTCAAGGTGAAATGAGATTATGTGCACAACTACCTACCACAGTCATTGATTGGTCAAGATTTGATTAACATCAACTTCCTTTATTATGTTATATACTTACCCAGATATAATATTCAAGTGTCTACTGTAGCAATATAGACTCTACCACCAGCTAAAGTCTTCATCCATTCCTGTTAACCACTTGTTCTATCTCTGCACCCTACTGAGTAACAGGGAGATTAGAGATCATCCCTAGTGATTAAAAAAAAAAAACCATAGCTTTCGTATGAATCTAGGTAGCTTTGCTTTGCTTTTAAACATCACCAATTATAAAATGACATAATGAATAATGATATATATTTTAATACATTAATCACATATCACATATGTGCCAACAAAATTACATGAAGGATTCATATCAGAATCAAATTGTTAACCAAGTGTGGAAAATTATTGATGTCATATGTTATTTTATGGTGGTTTATTTAGGATATTTAGCAGTTATTGCATTAAATCTATTTTTTTACAAGGTTAATGATAGTGCTTCAAATACTGTTGCTGTCATTTGTCAAATGTTAATTGTTTGTCAGCCAGGTGATATTCTGATATACAGGTTTATGAATCTGCATTCTTAGTCTCTTAGCATGATCCAGAAAATGAAACCTTTGTAAGACGTCTAAAAAATAGGAACTATGAGCCAGGCAGTGGTGGTGCACACCTTTAATTCCAGCACTTGGGAGGCAAAGGCAGGTAGATCTCTATGAGTTTGAAGCAGACTGGTCTACAAAGTGAGTTCCAGTTCAGCCAAAGCTGTAATACAGAGAAACCCTGTCTTGAACGCCCCCAGCACCCACCAAACCCAAACAAAACACAACAACAACAAAAATAAAACAACAGGAAACATCCCAAACCAAACCATACCAAAACAACAACAACTACAGTAGGAACTATGTGGGAAATGCTTAGCATCATAAGGTCAATATTAAGTAGGTGACATTTCCTATAGATTGTGTCTCTGTTAATAATTCCAAACCATCCACATGTGGTCGAAAGTCTGTGTTCCATATGTACAAATGCATAGATCTGCCTGGCCATCTGCTGGAGAAACATCTGAGAGTTGGTCTCTAGCTCCTTTCCTGACTTTCTACCTTTTATAGCTTAACAAAAGTTAAAATAAGATTAAAGTCTTAGAAGTGCATGGGAGGCAATTCTTCTCAGTTGCATCTTATGTCATTGTCTGGGGTTGTCATTGTGAGTCATGGGGCAGTGTTTATAGGGATACAGAACCTCTGCCAGTTTCAGATTTTAAAGAAATCTGAACACAAGTGTCTGCCACCAGAGATCTGGGAGACATTGTCCCTTGCAGTGAGGCGAAGAAGACATGCAGCCTACTGTGTCCTCTAACTCAGACACACTCCCTTGGAGAAGGAGGGGCTGCCTTCTCCTGTGCTAGTAACATTCTGTGCAGAAAACTGATAGGTAATGCTTCCTGGTACTCTGTGAGACATGGCTCCAAGTCATGTTTATTTTAGAACCTCTGACTTTCTAGCTTTCTTATCTCTGAATGAACTATTTTATAGAGGATATATTATCTGTTGGATATTAAAGAAAAAATTCATTAACTTCCAGCTTTATCAAAAACCTATATCATAAAGGCATGTGGGGATATTGATACATATTCAATCAGTGCAGTTCATATGAGAGAGATCGTGTTTTTTTATTTTAAATATAAAATTATATAAGAAAATTAGTATTTTTAACTTGGTACAATAAGATGTACATGTTGTGACACATGATTTAAAATAATGCTTCTCTAAGGAGGAGTGCATTATTGTGTAAACAGTAATGTAGTCATTTGGTCATGGTGAATTGTTCCAGACTATAGATATTTAAATTAAATGAGAATGATTTTTTCTTTCCTTTCCTTCTCCCTCCCTCCCTCCCTCCCTCTTTCTTTCTTTCTTTCTTTCTTTCTTTCTTTCTTTCTTTCTTTCTTTCTTTCTTTCTTTCTTTCTTTCTTTCTTTCTTTCTTGTTTTTTTTCGAGACAGGGATTCTCTGTAGCTTGGAACCTGTCCTAAAACTAGCTCTTGTAGACCAGGCTGGCCTTGAACTCAGAAATCCGCCTGCCTCTGCCTCTGGAGTGCTGGGATTAAAGGCGTGTACCCGGACAATGATTTTTTTCATTTTCAGATCATTTATAATTCTACATTTTGAAAAATTGACACCAGTGATCCCTAGGATTTATTTATACAATACCACCAATCTTCCTCCCTTTAGACAAAAGGGTCTCCCATGAACAATAACAAAACCTCCAAAGTACACCATCTATAGTGGTCACTGGTCCCTTCTGATTTTCATGTGCAAGGGATCTAATATCTTGGAGACAAAAAGGACCTTAACAAAGAATAAAAAAATGAGATAGTTTTCTCTGAGCCTTTCTCCAATATTGTCATGCTCAGAGATGGAGCCCACCCGGTCATATATAAGCAACAAATAATTGCATTGCTGGAACAGGAGAAAAATGGAGCAGGGAAATTGTAATTTTACATATTTTTTAAATTATTTTTTCTTATTGTGTGTTTTAAACCTGACAATTATTTTTAAATAATTAAAAAACATTTTACCCATTTCCCCTCGCCTTTCTTTTCTCTTTTTTCTCTTTTTTCTTCTCCTTTGTGACTTTCCTTCTCGTCAATGGAGATTTAACTCAGGGTTTCATGATTGTTAGACAGTGTCCGACCAAGGGACATCTTCCGTACAACAAACATTTCCTGTGAAGTTATGTTCATTTCCAACAACATCTAAGATGACAGTGCATTGCTTTTTTCAGTGTTGTAGTTAAGAAATAAATCTGTTAATTTATTTCTTTGAATCCAACTATTTAGACAGCCTAACTCATTACGACATTGAAGTCAAGAATTTACTTCTTAATTGAGCGAGAAAATTAAGAATGTAACATTTAAAAACTCATTTATTTTGGTTGGGGTGAGGCTTACAAGCTGCTTTTCCTCTCTGTGTTAGAACATTGACTGCCTTGAGCACAAGCAGGTCTTGTGCATGAAATCGCAGATGCTATGAGTTCACGAGAGCAACAGCTCTGTCATGTCCAGAAGACATTGTGTGCCGTGGTCCTTCCTGACCTCTGGCTCTCACAATATTGCCTCTCCCTCCAATGCAATGATCCCTGATCCCCAGAGACAGGGTGATATTATAGTTGTCTCACTTTGGCTAAGCACTTTGAAGATATTTATTCTCTCTTTGACCAGTTGTAAGGTTTTGTGTAAACTTCTGTTCACTGCACAGCAAAATTTAGATAATGAGGACAATTAGGCACTCTGTACATTTAGCAGAATAATAATAGTAGGTATCCCAGCACCATGATCTCCCAAACCATTAGTTCTTGGCCAAATTTACAGCACCGTGCATTGGTTTCTTCCCATAGAGTGGGGCTTAAATCTAATCAGAAAGTCATTGGCTCCCCTCATAACAGTCATGCCAATATTGCTTCCTTGGGGATATCATCTCATATCAAAAGTTATGTTCTTATAGCTCCCAGAGTTCATAGCCATGTAAGACTTTGATGATTTGTCTCTCTTGCAGTCTAGACACTACTGTCTAGTATTTTGAAAGCTATCTAACAGGGAAGAAACTTTCTTTTTAGTATTAACTTAATTTCATAATGTCCTGTGACCAGCAGGGTAGTATCTTCAGCAACAGGGTCTTACCTTCAAGCTCTGGAGGATGGCCAAGAGCAATTGACATCGCCTGCATTGTTTGCATGGTCTCTGACTAACAACCCTAAGGAAGGTATCCCATACCCTGGCACCTTTTTATTTAAACCTATAACTTCTTGGGTGAATATTATTCTCTGTACAGGATAATTTCAATTAAAGAATTTTCAAATATATATATATATTTTATAATATATATTTGCACATATATGCAATTTACAGAATGGAATATTTTCAATCATGGAAGTTTGTCTCAATTTCTTGTCGTCCCATAGAACACAGCTGGAAGGCTGATCTGGGAGAATCATTACAACATTGTTTGGGAGCTACACTGTGAGTTGCCTTGACAACAGAACACACATATATAACTCAAGTCTTACATGCTTCAGTAGCTAACCCTCTCTCAAGATAATTATATGCACAGTAGATCTTTATGCCTAGCATATTGTGTAATTAGCAAATAGAATTATTTTTGGAAAATAAAGTTATTTTAAAAACAAGATTTTCAGCAAATTAGAACTCAGCCATCTTTTGTAGTGAGATGCTAAGCTATCAGTAAATTATGGGATTAGTTTCAGCTCCATTACTTCTGGATGAAACCCATTTTCATTCAGTTTTGAAAGGACACATTTTATTGGCAGGCAACATAAGGTTTCTTAACTTGTCTCATCAAAACTTAAATTTATACCCTTTTCCATTTCTAGCATTTTCCCCATAAGCATTTATGAAAGAAGTGTTCTTAGTTCAATCTTCTACCATGATTAAATGGAAAAAGATAAATGCGAGATACTATATTCTAATGAGGTAACTCCAACCTCTTTGGTTTAAGCACCTGTCAGTAATCATTTTCTCTCTGACAGACATTATCATGGGATACCATGATCTATAGACCTGGGTAAGAATGACATCTCTAGACAAGTGACTTTGTTATAGACGTTAACTTTAGTCACAGTGTGTGCTATTGTCT